CTGAACCGCAAACTTTAGGAGTTCGAGAGGGAAGTAGTTGATGCTTTGGAGACTAACAACATTTTGATGGAGACAAACAAAAGATACAAGGTGGAGTTGGATCAATTGTGTTGATAGGTTGATGGCTTAAAGCTTCAGCTTCAATTAAGTGAGGATGAAAAAAAGAAAGGGTCGAAGAAACTAGTCTAGCCTCAAGGGAATTGACAACTTAAAAGGAGCATATTAGACAAAGGGTTAATTCTTTTAAGGGGAATTGTGAAAAGGATGACATCAAGAATGACAATGAAGTTGTGGACTCTTAAGTTGCATTATTTCTTTTGTGGTTAATTATGCCTTTAAATGAATTTTTGTACTTCTGGCTAATAGTGCTTGATATTGAGTAATGGAATTTTGCTTAATGTTTGTTGTTTTCATTTCATGTTTGCTTTTTTATGAAATTTTTCTTAAGTCTTCAAGTAATAGACTTCAAAAGGGTGTCCTCGATCGAGTGGAGACTTAGGAGGAAACATAAAATTTTTGCAACCCAAAATATTGAAGGTACATCCTTGACCAAGTGGAGACTCGAGAGGAAAAAAGCCTTGCAATAAATTTTGTTACAAAAAAACACCAACAATACATCCTTGCACAAGTTTATAGGTGGTTAAGGGTGCTGAGCAGCTATAAACCATATATATGTAAGCGTATAGGTGGCCGAGGACGTTGAACGGATATGAACCATATACGTGCAAGTGTATAAATGGCCGAGGGTGTCGAATAGGTATGAACCATGTATGAACAAATGCACAAGTGGCTAAAGGTGTCAAATTTTGTGCAAGTGCATAGGTTTCCATAGGTGTCTAAGGGTAGCAAATAGGTATGAACCATGTATGTGCAAATGCATAGGTGATCGAGGGTGTTAAATAGGTATAACCATGTATGCGCAAATACATAGGTTGCCAAGGGTGTCGAACGAGTATGAGCCATGTTCTTGCAAGTGCATAAGTGGTCGAGGTTTTCAAACATGTACGAACCATGTATGCATAAGTGCATAGGTGGCCAAGACTGTCAAACAAATATGACCATGTATGTGCATATGCATAGTTGGTTGAGGGTGCCGAATGGGTAAAAACCATGTATGTGCATATGCATAGTTGGTTGAGGGTGTCAAATGGGTAAGAATCATGTATGTGCAAGTGCATAGGTGGTTGAGGGTGTCAAATGGATATAAACCTTATAGATGCAAGTGTATAGGTGACCGAGGTTGGCGAATGGGTACGAACCATGTACTCTTAGGTACTCTCAGCTATTAAATGATAAATCATCTCTCTTCTCTTTAGTGACTCCTTCAATGACTTCAATTATCAAGGGGGTCTAGGCATACAAGGTAGCCCACGGGTACCTAATAGCATGAGTTTTCGATTATTTAAGAATCCATTTGATATAATTCTATTTTTATATTTCTTCAGACTTTTCTTCTCTTTTTTCCCTTCATTTTTTTTCCTCTTTACCAAATACAATGTATTTGTTAGGTTAAATTTTGTAAATGATATACTTTTAGAAGAAATTCACGTTCAACACCTAAAAGGATTTGACGTTGTTGGTTAAGAACACAAAGTATACAATTTATATAAGGATCTCTATGCATGCACCTATATGGAACCTGCAATGCAGTTTGGAATCCAGATTTCTCATACAAGGCTCCGTATGTTGCAAGATCTTCCTCTGTGAACCAAGAGGGAAGAGGAGTATCAGGTTCCACCAAATCCATGATCTATTGCAGGGGTAGAGTCCTATCAGTTTTTTATGGCATATTAATATGATATATTACTACTTTTGATGTTTTTGCAGTTGCACCTTAATTCAGTAAAATTTCGGCCATATGTAAATTATACATGAGACACCGTTGCTGCCGAATTATAACTCTGCATATGTGTAACACTGACATGATATATATTACACAGAAATAAACATTTTGTATTGCACTTTGGCTAAATTTCCCACTCTTCACAATCCACGTACACCATTCATGACTATTTCCACGCCAAAGTACAATATCAAGTGTGCTTGGCAAGGAAGCCAAGAATAAGCTGATTCACCTGTTCGGGAAACTGTTCTTGAACAAAATGAGTTCCCTCAGGGATAAATGTAACCTCCAAATTGGGAACAAGCTCTTTTGCCTTTTCACCTTTTGTTAAATCCTCAATCCCTGGAAACTTCAGAACATAATCCTTGCCACCCATTATCAGAAATGCTGGAACTTTAACCACAGGATCTGGTAAGTTACACACTTCACCTAATGACCTACAAATACAAACAAAACCAACCCACCATTAACAAGAATTCATCAGATCAGAAAATCTGAGAGTTCAAGAGACACTGCTTTCATTGTTTAGTTGTAAGAAATAGCTTTTCACTGAAAAAGGCAACGAAGAAAAAATGCATGCACCTATATGGAACCTGCAATGCAGTTTGGAATCCAGATTTCTCATACAAGGCTCCGTATGTTGCAAGATCTTCCTCTGTGAACCAAGAGGGAAGAGGAGTATCAGGTTCCACCAAATCCATGATCTCCTGGGTTACAAGCCAAAGAATTAGGTGGGCCTCGCGAGCTATGATTCTTGGCCTAACCCGCTATCTTTTGGCAGGCCAACATACCAACCATGCGCCATGACTTATTTTGTCACCCCTACCTCTACCATTACTTAAGGACCAAATTGAGTGTTTATTCACTATATATTATTTTTCATTGGGTACTTCATTGCAGGGGTAGAGTCCTATCAGTTTTTTATGGCATATTAATATGATATATTACTACTTTTGATGTTTTTGCAGTTGCACCTTAATTCAGTAAAATTTCGGCCATATGTAAATTATACATGAGACACCGTTGCTGCCGAATTATAACTCTGCATATGTGTAACACTGACATGATATATATTACACAGAAATAAACATTTTGTATTGCACTTTGGCTAAATTTCCCACTCTTCACAATCCACGTACACCATTCATGACTATTTCCACGCCAAAGTACAATATCAAGTGTGCTTGGCAAGGAAGCCAAGAATAAGCTGATTCACCTGTTCGGGAAACTGTTCTTGAACAAAATGAGTTCCCTCAGGGATAAATGTAACCTCCAAATTGGGAACAAGCTCTTTTGCCTTTTCACCTTTTGTTAAATCCTCAATCCCTGGAAACTTCAGAACATAATCCTTGCCACCCATTATCAGAAATGCTGGAACTTTAACCACAGGATCTGGTAAGTTACACACTTCACCTAATGACCTACAAATACAAACAAAACCAACCCACCATTAACAAGAATTCATCAGATCAGAAAATCTGAGAGTTCAAGAGACACTGCTTTCATTGTTTAGTTGTAAGAAATAGCTTTTCACTGAAAAAGGCAACGAAGAAAAAATGCATGCACCTATATGGAACCTGCAATGCAGTTTGGAATCCAGATTTCTCATACAAGGCTCCGTATGTTGCAAGATCTTCCTCTGTGAACCAAGAGGGAAGAGGAGTATCAGGTTCCACCAAATCCATGATCTCCTGGTTTTCATTAGCTATTGGTATTTCACTTCTAGAATATATATATTATTGACATTTTTTTAACATGGATTCAATATGAGTGAAAATGATGTATCTCTATAATTGAAACAATATGATTTTGGTTTGAAATTTGTGTTGTTTCTTTTATGTTGATAACATACTTGTGCGTGTAGTATGTAGTCTACTATATTGGATAATTGTTCGACCTAATTAACTTGATCTTTTGGATAGCTCTATTTCAAGGTTGATAGTTCACGCATTATATTTACATTGAAGTTTTAAGGTGGAGTTAAAGTATGTTAAAGATAAATAAAATTTTGGCATATAATATTTAAAGATATGACGACTTAAGCTAAATGGTTATGCATATATAGTGATTAGGAAGAAAGTGTTGATAATACGAAAAACGATGCAAGCCATGTATTCACAATTTGTTCATGTATTATTTTCTAAAATGTAAAAGAGTAAGTAACAACACAATCAACAATTAAACACAAGGTATGTCTCCCTTGTAATTGTTACAAATTAAGTATTATGGTTAAGAAAATTGCTTGCTAATTTAGGATAAGAACAAAGTTCACCAATTGTGCTTTTTTATGATAATAAGTTGTTATTGTCATTACTAAAAACCCTATCCAAAATAGCATGACCGAGCACATTAATGCAAAATTTCACATTAAAAGATTTTACATTATAAGAGAAGTTGAAAAAAAAAAAAAAACTAGTCAAGATGAGAAAAACCTTACCCAACATAGCATAACCATGTACATTGATGTAAAATTTCACATTACAAGAGAATTATAAGAGAAGTTGAGAAGAACTCATTGGTCAATTGAACTACAACTTTCTAACTTAATGTCTAAAATACCTCTTAATCAAAATTAAAGTTTCTAAAGTTAAAGATTAACATTTTCAAGACATGTCTCAATGAATGTTAGATATATAAGAATATGCCTTTCAAATTTGAAATTTGAATAATTATTTGTTAGACTTAGTCTTTACTAGTTACAAAATTTGCTTCTTTTTTTTTATACTATTAATAAAGATGATATGTTTTTTTGGTGTACACACTTTATTGATTATTTTAATCCTTAACTTCCAAAATGCGCTCTCATTTTTTATTTATTTAGTTTTTATTCTTTTTTCTTCTCTACTTCTTCGTAAATTTATTTTTCCAACTTCTTAGACTCTTCAAATAACTACTCAAAATCATCCATAATTATTAACTACTTACACACACTTAACATCAATTATTTATATTATTTATTTTATTTTTATTTTTTTATATTAAACACACAAAGACATGAAGAGTCTTATTTACATTAACTTGATCTTTTGGATAGCTCTATTTCAAGGTTGATAGTTCACGCATTATATTTACATTGAAGTTTTAAGGTGGAGTTAAAGTATGTTAAAGATAAATAAAATTTTGGCATATAATATTTAAAGATATGACGACTTAAGCTAAATGGTTATGCATATATAGTGATTAGGAAGAAAGTGTTGATAATACGAAAAACGATGCAAGCCATGTATTCACAATTTGTTCATGTATTATTTTCTAAAATGTAAAAGAGTAAGTAACAACACAATCAACAATTAAACACAAGGTATGTCTCCCTTGTAATTGTTACAAATTAAGTATTATGGTTAAGAAAATTGCTTGCTAATTTAGGATAAGAACAAAGTTCACCAATTGTGCTTTTTTATGATAATAAGTTGTTATTGTCATTACTAAAAACCCTATCCAAAATAGCATGACCGAGCACATTAATGCAAAATTTCACATTAAAAGATTTTACATTATAAGAGAAGTTGAAAAAAAAAAAAAAACTAGTCAAGATGAGAAAAACCTTACCCAACATAGCATAACCATGTACATTGATGTAAAATTTCACATTACAAGAGAATTATAAGAGAAGTTGAGAAGAACTCATTGGTCAATTGAACTACAACTTTCTAACTTAATGTCTAAAATACCTCTTAATCAAAATTAAAGTTTCTAAAGTTAAAGATTAACATTTTCAAGACATGTCTCAATGAATGTTAGATATATAAGAATATGCCTTTCAAATTTGAAATTTGAATAATTATTTGTTAGACTTAGTCTTTACTAGTTACAAAATTTGCTTCTTTTTTTTTATACTATTAATAAAGATGATATGTTTTTTTGGTGTACACACTTTATTGATTATTTTAATCCTTAACTTCCAAAATGCGCTCTCATTTTTTATTTATTTAGTTTTTATTCTTTTTTCTTCTCTACTTCTTCGTAAATTTATTTTTCCAACTTCTTAGACTCTTCAAATAACTACTCAAAATCATCCATAATTATTAACTACTTACACACACTTAACATCAATTATTTATATTATTTATTTTATTTTTATTTTTTTATATTAAACACACAAAGACATGAAGAGTCTTATTTACCTTAGTTATTATTATTATTATTATTATTATTATTATTATTATTATTATTATTAGTTATTTATCTATTCTAATTCAAATAAAATCTCATGGTAGTTGAGATATTTTAGCAAATTTCACATTAATCGCTTGCAAACCTATAAATAGGCATTCTTATTTATGAAATATAGCATTTCTTCTTTGATTGTTTATCTAAAGTTTTATTTCTGCAAGTTATAAAAAAAATGGCTGAAAAATTAAAGACAATTTTAAACCTTAATTGATCATAGTAATAAAAGCATCGATGAGAAATAATCACACCATAATTTCTCCATGTTGGCCGCCAAGGATTAGGATTTCAGGACCACAAAAGGCACATGCACATATATAATTAAGCCACGATTATTAGGGTGTGAAATCCCAATTAAAAACAATTGATCATTAAACTTGACCATTTTGAAAGGTTGATCCGAACTCTGAAGAGAGGAATGTGCATGGAAAATCAATCTCTTGGTCGGTTGGTTAGGTAAAGGGTATGGGACATGGGATTGAAGAGGACAAAACAAAGAATGTTTGTTGGACAAGTTTGAAAACGACACACTGGATTAATTAAATCCAACTTGATCTCTCTAGTAAGGGAAGAGTCTATTATGTCCAACTAAGATGCCACTTATGTCCATCAAACTACTTTACATTAATTAATATAATTTGTTGTTCCGACTAAAATTACACTCAATTTCTTTAAGTAGTAATATCTTGAATTTAAATATCATTAGTAAAGATTTTATTAAGAATGATATATTAGTCAATTTTTTTGATGAAGATTAATAAATAGTAAAATCGTGAATGCTTTACACCAATAACAAAATTAAAAAATAAAAACTACTTTACATTAATAACTCACTCTCACTTATTAGCCCATTAAAAAATGTGATTAAGGATCCAAAGAACAGATTCGCGTGGCCGTGCTTTGGTGACTCTTGCTGTTGCTGGTGGAGCCAAGCAACCACATGGTTTTAGTTTCATAATTAAAAAAATGTTGGAATCAATTGTTTCTTAGTCAATTGCAATTGCTTAGGTTAATTGAAGGAATAATTTGCTAACAATCACGAGTACACATGTAGCGGCATCACTGGGGTGTACTGGGCCACCTGTGGACCACTTTGGCAATTGATGCTTATTCCAGGTTGGAACAAAGATTGTGATGTTTTTTTTAGGGTTTGTTTATCCTGCTATCTATGCCCTACATCACTATATTTGACATTCCCCATTACTTTTCCTTTGTCACTTGATATATATGAATATGTTATATGTTGCTTAATGTCTAGGTAGTTTCTCAGCTATATCCATTTTTTTATTAAGGAGACTTTGGTGTGATGAACTACTTTCATATTTAAAAGAATTATTCAGCAGTTCCTAGGTTTCCAACCATGTGAAAATGATGTTATTCTTTGTGATTTTTTTTAAGCAAGAGAAGATCATATATTCTGTAGAACAGATGTTTGTTGCAAAGTGGAAACCCAGTCCGGTGAACAAGCATATGTGGTTTTCATAATGTGTGTATAGTTCTTTGAAATTTCTTTGATTGGGTAGGGAAATGAAAGTGATATATAGTGATTAGTGATTAGTATAACACAAAGGACAAAAGGGTGAAAGACACATTAATGGTCGCGTTTAGTATGAGAATCTATGCTTAACATGCAAGAGGGAATTTGAAATTGCCAAAAATCGGAAAAAGTCCCTTACAAAATTAAAACTGTATTTTAATGTATAAATTTATTCAATAGTAATTGAAATGAATCTCTAATATAGTCCATAAATTATATTAATCAATTTCTTTAATATTAAATAATTTATATTAAAAGAAAAATATTTATTTTATATGTATTCATAATTTCTAGCAGAGATTAATTATTATTTTCAATAATAAATGTTGTTTGTTAATGTTATGATTATCAAATGAAAAAAAAGAAATACAATCTTTAAATTATGAATATGTGTCATTATTTCATTATAGTCTTATAGAATTTACACGTTAGTAATTTACTTTACACAACATTATTCACAATTTTTTTTAGCATAACAAATAAAAGAAAACCTAGTAAGAAAACTAAAATGAATAATATTTTAACAGAATCAAAAACCAAAGTGAAGATTTTAAAAAAAGTTATTTATCTTTCCAAAAACTAAGGAAAATTTTAATGCGTATTTACTAGTAAAGATATTTTTAAAGTTTCTTCAGTTTCATTGATTTCAATTGTCTATTTTATATCTTATATGTTGATCATATAGTTGCAATAAAGTATCATTCAATATTTCAATGGATATTGTCCATTCTTAAATGAAATATAATGAAATGACATTTTTAAAATAAAATTATATAGAGAATGAAAGTCGTTTTTATTTTAAGGTAATGATACATTAAAAGTCTTTTCAAAGGCTTCCTGTAATGTAAATAATGACATATTGACCTAAAGCCACGTTGGTGCGTCCAAAAAATGTCATTGCAAATGCAGAACGGTGTACTATATTGAACTGTAGGCAAGGGGTTGTCGTGCGTCAATTCAATTTGATATCACATCATAGAAAGTGCCATATTATTGCCACACTCATACTATACCCTCATATTAAATTTGTAGTGAATAACAAAACAATCTAAGAGAAAATGATGGGGGACTTTATTTAATTTTTAGCAATTGAATACGTTGTATTCCAAGGAAACGATATAGGTTTTATTATTTCTGTCTTTGTCTTTGATTTATATTTTATATTCATCTTTATTTTTATATTTGACAGGTGTGTAAGGATATATTTATATTCGTCTCATACTTGTCAAAAAATAGTTAAATATATTTTTTTAAAAATATTAAAAATGAAAATTTCAACATAGAATAATTGCAAAATTATATTAAGTATCATTTGACATAAATTTAAAAAAAAATTAAATTAAGTTTATAAAAATTTAAAGCGATTACGAATACAGGTACGAATATAAGGTAAATATGCATACGTTTATCCTTACTCTCATATCCAATTTAATAAGTTAAGTATTACTTGTACCTGTCTAAATCAATGTCAAAATTGAAGCGAGTTTGAGTGTTACTCATGAATTCAAGTTTACTTATTATCTTAAAGGCTAAACCAAATAGTAGCATGTTGGTGGAGATATATAAAAGCTTATATTCAATCTTATTATTATTAGTGTAATTATTTTTATTGGTAAAAAATACATGGAATCTTACTAATATTGTTAAAAATTTATTTATTCAGAATAAATTATATTTTCTTGTTCATAAAAATGTTTTAATTGTAAATACTAACAACTCTTTCTTTTTATATTTTTTTTTAAAAATATTTTATTTTCCAGAAATATTAATATAATAATTTAATCCATTTCAACGGACATGAACCTGTCAAGAAATTTTTTTATTTTTTTCTTTAAATGACTCTTAATACTAATTTTGAATCTATTATTGATTTTGGGACTTCGGAATAAAGAAATGAAAATTTTGAATGAAATTACGAAGTTGATAGTACAAGTGTTCAAATATCATTTCATTAAACTAAACTCCAAAATTATTAATATATAATATTTAAAACTAACTGATAATGACTTTAGAAGTTTATGAGAAAAGAGAACTATTCTTAAGATATTTATCTATAGCTGTTCAGCACTACTAACAAATCCGTTTACGTTAAATAGATTAAAATTTCAAGAAAGAGGAGCGTAATTTGTAAAACAAGAGTCTGGAGTATTATTTAAACATCTTTCAGATATTAAGAGTATAATATTGTTACTGTGCTTCTTATGGGATTTAATTTTAAGGTACAAGTAATAACTTTTTATATTATTTATTATTAAATTATTGAAAAACTAAAATCTCAAATTAAAAGAATTTAACTTTTTTTTTAAAATTTGTATTAATACATTATTGCATAATGATGTAAAATCCTAGCTAATAATAGGTATATCAAATTTCATTATTCATTTATATCCCATTCTTGTTTTTGTGTATTTGATATCACGTGTGACAGGTAGTGTATTACATTGAGTCTACTCTAAACTTTGAATAAATCTCAACACTATAGTCCTATTGTACAAAACTGAGGGTAATGAAAATACTTTGGGTTATGAATCGTGATCTAGAAAATTCTCCAAAGAATCTTAAAATTTATTAATAATGAAAGGACAGTCTCACAAAATCTCACTTCCGCAATTATTTTATCTCATTAAGAGAGAACACTTATTATGCGTATCCTAATCATTCTTGGTTGTCAAGTATAAACGTGGTTGACCCCCAGCAAGATGATCTAATTAAATTTTCTCTCTTTCATGTGTAAAATTTTTACTTAGACATCAGACTGTCTTTACAGGTATACTCTCCACTCACGTTGTTGTCATGGACAAAAAATTATTAAGAAGCTTCATGACTTGAGGTCCAAGACTCGCATCTACAATCAAGTAACAACACTTTGGTTATAAGTAACACTTTTTTTTTAACAATCCACATCTGTAAAATTAAATTATTTGTAAATTTATAAAAACTGTTACATCAAAGTCGCTCTCTATATGTAAAACTTAAGGAACCTGAAGCCGCACCCTTGTGACAAGGAAGCATTTTTGTATAGAGATTTGATGGGATGTTTCCTCTTTATAGTTGGCCTGATTGGTTTTATTTTGTAAAATTCCAAAATTTTGTTGTGTGTGTGTGGGATTTTCAGTCTAATCCGATTCTTTGTTAAAATAGGTGACTCCGAAAGGACCCTCCACCTAATTGTGCAGCACTTAGACGTTGACATCCACGAGGAGAGAAGAGAATGCATGTTAATCATGGCATGCCACACAAGCATCACGATCGAGCTTGCTAAAAGATACATGCTGTGGCCGAATCTTCCATTTGATACGTACCATACATGGTGGGGAAAAGCCATCAAATGTGTGGGTCTAGATCTAGAAAATTAGGACGCCAAGCCATGACGAATGGCTTCTCAATTCTGACCTTTGGATTGAACATTTTGTTGCCAAATGAAAAGTAGTAGTTGTCATGTGTCAAATTAGCACGAATAAAACTACATGTAACATGCATCCATTTACACTCCCAAAAGCCGAAACCAATGAGAACCCTTCATTTGAAATTGTGATAGGTATAGGCGGTGATGGCGGTGGGACAAGAATATGATAGCATAGCTACGTAGTTGTACAGGTAGGGAACTGAGTAAGGAAGAAGTAATAATAGATTTGATTGAGAGTGGAGCCAAGCTCTGTTGCCAAAAGAATAATGGCATGCATAAGTCACTCACTGGATTGGACGCCTTCCAATAATTCTAGGGTTGGGTGCCTCAACACCTATAAACATAAACAATCTTGATGGAACAATTTTAGTAGTATGTCAATACCTTAATAGTGAGGAGTCTAAGCAAAAATAAACAATTCTTCTATTGTTTGGTCTGTCGCAAACGGCATCCCTGTTTTCATATTCTCACTGGGGAATCGTTCTTCTGTTCTGTATGAGATCCAACCAACGGTTATTGCACAACACAACACTTGTCATTTATGTCAAGTTGAATTACTGTACAAATAGGTCCAAGTATACATTGACAAAATAAAAGTAAAAAAAGGCTGCTACTGACATAATTATTTATAGGGGTACTGTACTGTACCTCACCTGGCTTGGCTTGAGATAGAATCACACTGATTAATACCTGGGAATCAAACTTCTCTCATTAGGCTTAGCCAATGGCCTCATCCACAAGTTTATGATGGCCTCATCCACAAGTTTATGACAATTGTGAAGATTTAACTATTTTAAAATCAAGAGATGTACTACTTTACAAGATAAAGTACAATTATAATTATTAATTTAAAAGTTAATGATAAATTAGAATATAATACATGCATATATAACAAGAAAAGAAATACATGTATATCTTACTCATCATTTTCTTAATCAACACTATTCTATCTGATGAATTAATGAAATACTTTTACCTTCAATTTAGGAGTCAAATATGTGAACTAAACCAAGTAAAGTGATGTATATAAAGTAGCAAGGCTAAACACAGTTAAACAAAAAATCTTAAATAAGCAACTTTTTTCTAATGAACAAAAACTATAACTTTTAAGGGGAAAATAAATCTGGAAAAGCTAAACCAACCTCTACCATTTTATACATTATTGGACACGCAGCCAAGACTTGAGGTAAATAATACTAGTAAAAATAAGAATAAAAAGAAAAATTAATGACAAAAATGATATGATTCCCATAAGACACCTCCGGCCTCAAACCCTACCTCCACAGCAACCCCTCTCTGAATATAACACTCCTTCCAACAGGATTTCTAATTAGAATCAAAACCACAAGATCGTGATCTTAAGTTTCAGTATTAAGATAGATAAATGAGAATAAAGGATTCAAAATTACAGTATACTTTCACTATCCTATTTGCACCAACAGACATCCATGTCATACCAAGCATAATAACGAAGGATCATCTAAATATCTGCCTCCACAACGGATTCCATATACCAACCTTAATAATGATTAATTGTTTTGTGTTTTCAACTAAAGCATCAGCACTGTATAAGGATTTCATAGTTTTATGAGTAGAATATTCCTAACCAAAACCATGAAAGCTATTTGCAAACAATAACATGATAAAAATGCCATACTACACAGCTAACAATCAATACTCTCGTAATGGAAAATGACAATTTGATGAATGGATAACTTCCAGCTCCCCCATTTTTTCTTCAAAAGAAAAAAGACATGAAACCACCTTAAAACTTAAAGTCCTTCTTCTTGGACTTGCCCTCCTTTTCTTGCATCTTTCTTTTCTTCCTCTTCTCATTCTGCACCAGTTGGTTGCATAATTAAACATACAAAACAAGACCTAAGTTATTATTAATAACAATATCAATAAGTCTTAATGATATGAAAATTAAATGTAACACACCTCTGCAACCATGTCACTGAAATCCTCACGCTGATTTCGTAACTTCTCTTCCTCCCTTGCTTCTTCATACCTGGAACAGTTCCAACAGAGGTAAGAAATCTTACCCATCCATGATGTGAATATAACTAACAGGCAACAAATGTTTTTTAAAAATATAATTCATACTTTGCAGGTAAAACATTTTCCATGGCATCCAACTCTTCAGGCAGTAAAGTGACATCCACTTTATCTGACTTTTGACCTCGGAGTAAATCAACCTGGAAAACATGAAACATGTTATCCACCAATCAGTATCATCATGAAAACCTCTCCCCCCTTTTTCTCCCAAAAAAAAAAATAGAGAGGAAACTCTTTAAGTTTACCCTTTTAGCCCCTGATTTGTCCTGGGTGCCAGTGTTAACCACATAACTGGAGAGAAAGGGACATCAGAACTTGTTAATAAACAAATAATTGCGAGGGAGAAAAGACAAGCCAGCCAAATATTATAAATAAATAAATAAATAAATGTGCCAATTTTGCATACGTGTGTGTGGTTCCAAGCAAAGTTCCTGGAGCAATTTTTTCCTCCTTCTCTTCAAGCACCTACACGGAAAACATGATTAATGACAAACAATTGATCAAAGAGCTATAACTGATGAAAGAGCAGAAATAGAAAGACTCACTTGATAAAGAGGCCTTTCAGGTTCTTTCCTCTGCTGCTTACGAAGGTCAATAACATCAGGTGTCTCCACTCCAGTGGGAGTGCTGGGGAGGAAAAAGAAACATAAAATGGGGAAAAAATGAGTTCACAAATACAGGAGATTAAATACAACAAGCCCAAAACCAGACCTTAACAGACTAACAACCACCACACACAAGTAGAGAATTAGAAACATGAACCTTAACAAGAAACATAACTCTAGGACCTGTTAAACATTCATGAAGTTGGTTGTTTAGGTTAATTATTAACCACACGTGAACTAAATTAGTCATGCGATAGATCCTTAATTAATATTTATCATGCTAATCCCAAGAAAGAATGGAATGTATCTATGAAAAGAAACCAATGCCAAGAATAAAAGAAACTGAAACAGAATATAATACCTTGACAGACTATCAACAGACTGAATACCAGCTTCAAGTTCCTCCTCCTCCATTTCTTCTTCCTCTTCCTCCTCCTCTTCTTCTTCTTCTTCCTCCTCCTCCTCTAAGTCACCCCAGTGTTTGGTCTTATCTACCGGCTCTTCCTGCATCATAAGAACATCCAAGTAAAATACAAATAGGAAAACCATGAAGAAAAGAGCCATATTTGACTTTATAAGTGCTCCTAGATTAGTTAAATTAAATATTAGTTACTTTTACTAGCCTAGTAAATTATGCGTTCAATCTACATTAAGAATAGCTTTTAAGAGTGAAAAGAAGAGGAAAAGAAAGAATGATAATAAGCAGTGTATTTGGATATATGCAAAATGTCTTGATAAAAAGCTAAAGCTAATTTCATTTCTAATTTCTCTCATTTTCATCTCTATCATGTTTTCATGGACTTAAAAAGGAAAAGAGAAAATAATTCATCCACACGCATTGAGATAGAGAAAGAGATAGAGGAGTGCTGTAAGCTTAAAACATTGAACATAGAAGGCACTCAACTTTATTATCGAACATAAAAGGGGTAGCATAGAAAGATTGTATCAAAAAGAAGATACCCCTCTAGTAACATAGAAATCCTATGTAAACCAACCTCATAATTAGGCTGTTCTTGTTGATGAACACCAAAAACATCTCCATAAAGTGGACGCCCATACTGTTCAATTGCAGACAGGAAAAGTGATCACTGAGGTGAAAAGGGGGAAGAGGGGGCGGAGAGCCCTTTAACCAAATGAAAATTCATAAACCCGTATTGAAAAAGCAAATGATGAAAAGAAGAGTGAATATAAAAAATGTACTTCGTCAACAGGAGGCTTGCCCCAGCCACCAGGATGATAACCAAAACTAGCTCCAGGGGGAATGGGAGCATTCAAGCCTGGGATCTTCAGATGAGGATAAGATGGAGGAGGACCATATCTCTGGGGAAAAAAATTAATGTTATGAAAGGGCCAAGAACAGAACAACACAACAAATATGCCACATTGATATTACCTGCATATTAATAAGCCATGGAGGAGGAGCACCCTCAGGCATACCAAGAGCTTCTTTTAATTCGTGTGATAAGCAGCCAGGTTTCATCTCCCTCAACTTTACCTGGACAGCAATACAGCATTATATAAATAAGAACCAAGTAATAACTTCTATAAGTAATGATAATCTCGACACTTAATCAACAAGGGAAGCATCTCATCAAAAGGAGTTTGAAATTTGAATGATGTGATCTTTAGACCAAATATTCAAATAAAAATACTTTCTACTTTTGACAAAGCTACAGAGAAATACATGAAATTTTCACTGCACAATGAAATGATAAAGAGTGAAGCTAAGCTCTCAAGTTCTAGGAAACCCACTATTCAAACCAGAAATCATATGGAGGGAAATATCCTGAGTTTTCCTTATTATACAAAGTATGTCAATGATACTTAGTAAATCATTTCAATCAAAATACAGAGGAAATGCATAGTATACTATAGAGTTAAACCAAAATTCCAAAGTAAGTGATAACTTATTCAACTCTATGGATTAAAATATATATAAAAAAAAGAAGGTATCTACAATTGAAGAAGTTGAAAGAAAACATCTCAACAACCTGGTACTCAAGTAAGCAGATATCAAATGACACCTACGAGATAAGTAACACTACCTACATCTAGCTAGTAGCTAACAACTAATCTGTTTATAGATTTGAACTTCAAATTGATTGCCTTTGAAAGTTAAAAAATCAACCTAATAATAACAACTGAACAAAATACAGCAAATGATAAATACTTTTACAGCACAAATCTAACAATTTCCTCAACTTTATACACCACTCTCAATGAATTTATTGATCTTCCAGTAACAGACGGTTTCTTAACTAGTTAACTTCAATATATAGATATCAGTACATTGACATTGCACATTCTTTGTTGACATTAACTCAGTCAATTACATTATTTATGCAGTATTTCAAATCTGGCGCTTATATTTAAAAATGTAATGTACCTCAAATTCTTTTCCCTCATGATATAAGTCTCCAAGAGATGTAAGCTTTGGCTTTGTCTGATATTTAAAGAAAGCATCGTGGAGAACCTAGCAGCCAAGAAACAAAATTGCTTGAGGGATGGAAATTGTTCTGTCTTCTGAATACAACATAAAAGCAAGCAAGACAGAGTGGACAACTAGAATAGTTAAAGATATAATAATGCCTGATAATCAATATCCATTTTCCCCATTTTTGGTTGCATGCGTTCCCTTTGCTTTTGTTTCAATTTTTTACTGTCTTCTTTCTCAATATAAGCCTGCATGACAAATCAGAAGATAACCTGGCAGGTAAATAGCAAGTACAGTAATGAAATAAAATACTTAAAAAGACACATACACGTACGTTGCAAAGAGAAAGTTTCATGTTATATCAAGATTAGTTGAAAGAGACAGCAAAAACCACTAAAGGATGTGGAAGAAAAGTTATATAAAACATCAGTCAGAAAACTAATAACAGATAACCATTCCAATATAAACAAAATGCATGTGTCGATCAATACTAAAATTGACAACATTTGATTGAATAAAGTGTTATATTGTGATGGATCATTAACATTTGAGTATATCGGAAGCAGGTGATTCAAAACGTCCATCAAATATAAATTAAAAAATAAAAAAATCTCTATCACAAATGAATATCTACCCAATACACCATTGGAATTATTTTAAAAAATCTCAACAAACAAATCATAAGTTCAAATAATCTGTTCCATCGCATTAAGATTTTCAAACAGCAGTACCATCCAGTCATTGAATTAACAATGCTAGACCAACAAAATCTTTTCAGAAAAGTATATAAGTGTAACTATTCAAACACAGACATAACTTATTAATTTCGTAAGCAAATCATACAAACAATGTTTATTTCAAATCTTACTTCTATTTAGGTTGGTCACTTACACAGTGTTTGGTTGGAAGGGAGGGGAGGAGAGGGGATAAATTTTTAAAAACATTTTGGTTCAATTTTTAGGAGGGAGCAACACCCCTCCTAACCCAACTTTAGCTCCTCTCCAATATATGGGGGGTTTGGAGGGGAGGGAAGGAATTTTAAAACATTTTTAATATGATATCCAAAATGTCCTTATTTGTGTTATTAAATTTAAAATTATAAGAGCAAAGTTCATTAGTCTAACTGGTGCTACGATTGGTTCTCAAATATCAAAGTCTCGAATTTGAGTTTTGGGTTTGATAAAAAAACAATGTTGGGAGGGATAGCCTTAATGCAGTCAAAGTCCCAAGGGAAACTAGTCCCAACGAATGCCAATACCATGATAACAACAAAAAAAAATTAAAATTATAAGGATACAAAAGTAAATTGGTTTTTAAAATCCCTCACCTCCCCTTGTGAACCAAACAAGAAAAGAATTATCATCCCCCCCCCCTTCCCCCAACTGTCAACCAGACAAAATTTCTAACTCCTCCCCTCCCCTCCTTTGAACCAAACAGACCCTTAGACAAATAGCCAAAACATATGCAATAGGTAATCGCATTACCTGTCTAATTTTCTCAATTCCTGTGGCAGCAATGAAATCAGGAAGCTGAAAGGGTGGTTTCTCAATACCTCTTTTACCCTGCAAAAACAATAACAACTTTTGATGAGATATAAGTAAATTATGCGTACATGATTATGAAATTCTGTGGCCAAGAACTATCAATTTAAAAGCATTGAAGACAAGAGGAATTCATTGGTTCCAGAAAAAACGCAAAGATATGTCACAGTATCTGGTTTGCAGTTGTCTGGGTCATACGTAAAAGCAGAAATTAATGTTTTCTCAGCACAGGAAAGAACTTTGGTTGATATTTTGGAGATGATCAAAATATTGTACTGGAAAAGGTTATCAGTTTAAGGCGAGTTCAATTATTCACTATTCTGCTGGTTTAATGAACCAAAGACGTATCTCTTAACAGCCTAATGTCATCGTGCACTCAGTTCCAGTGTTGTCATGGGGAGGGTTTCTTTTGTTTATTTGGGTGAGATGGAGGCACTGAAATATGTGTCGGATAAAATGTTGTTCTGCTGTTAGCATATGTATTTCGTTGAATTGGATGCTGTATTGTTAATACTTGACAGAATGCTCATTGTAATTTTGGCTTAGCTTGGCTTGGCTTGGTCACAACTTGTGGACAAACCAATGCTTGTGGTTAATATATTTGTTTTGCATCTTCATAAAAAAAAATAATAATAATTCAGCCCGGGCATTAAGCACAATGAAAGGAATCTGAAAATTCAAAGCAGAACTATTAGCGACTTGGTCATAAACAAGTCCCCAATGGAATTACACAAAAAAAGGCCACATGATCATAAACCCTTGTCATGTAACATCACATAACACTCGTATTATCATGCAATCTGACAGATATAAGTGAAAAATAAATCATGGATGCTCATTGCCAAACACCTACAAGTCCTGGCTTGGTGATTGCCACAACAGCTCCCCTGCAAGCATCACATACATACATATAAGAGAAACCTCATCAACATTATCTTCCTCACTCTATCCCTACATCCCACATATAGACCAGAACCATCATATATGCCTACATCTATAACCAATAATCATTGATTTAGTATACTAACCAACCTGCAAAAATTTTCTCTTTTGGCACCAATGCCTAGGTACAGGTACAGTATTTCGATAAGATTTCAAGAACACCAGCAACTTTGGATCTGATGCAGTAGCATCCCACACCTTACAAGTGAAAAATAAAGTGTTATAAGCATTTGCAGAATGGCCATAGGCCAGACTAGAAAGATAGAGGAGTGAAGGCACAAAAGTTCAAAACTATGTATACTACACAATATTCCAACCTCAACAACATCAGGCCTGGAGCTAATCTGCTTCAGTTCCGCAATCTTCATCCGGCGTTGAAGCTAAACACAAAAATAAACTTTTAGTATGACTATAGAAAGGAATGTGGTAGTTAAATCTAGCAAACAAAATAATTAAGTGTAAAAAATAGCTATACCTTTTTCTTCTTGTTTGAGATGCCTTTCTCTCTTTGCTCATTATCATTTTCTTCCTCTTCAGAATCAGAGTCTGCTTTCTTATTGGTAGTTGCATTTTCTGCAGACTCATCCTTCTTATCATTATCCTGGTTGTATCCAAGTAAAAAATTCGTCAAGCAATATATGAAATGCAAGTACAAGTGCAAAATAAACAATTGACACAAACTCATTACCTCTGAACCAGTAACCTCGCCAAAACTAAATTTCTCAAAGATTTTTCTGAATTCTTCATCCAAGCCTTCATCTAGCTCTGCCCTCTCTGGTACATATTCAATTTCAACTTGCTCAACAACCTAAAATGTAGACAACATTAAAAGGGCATCACTATCATTTGTGTATTAATGCCTTGAGATCTGATATGAGCACCGATATAATTTCCAAAACGCTCAACAGTAACATCGAATGGAAAACTGCAAGGAATTCTAGATTATAACATCGAGTGGAGCCATAAACAGATATGATATTTAACAAACATCAATCATAATAACCAACCAATAGCTTCTTAGTTGCATTATAACACGTAATTCTAATATTTACAACGGGATCAAAACCTAATTCCTATAAAATAAAACTTCTAGTACATGCAATATCAAAAATGTTGTTGGTGTTGTTCTCCAATCAAAATTGAAATTTCACCTTGGTAATATGTGTAATAAAGAATTTCATTAAATGTGAACACATATTATTCGAAGTAAAACTTCAATTTTGATTGAAAAACAATACCAACAATGCCTATATTACTGTATTTAAATTTTGTCCTTCCAGTAGGTAGGTGAAGATGCCTAAACTAATAATCCTGGTTTCAAAAAACAGTTTGGGACCGTGATTTCAGTCGCAAGGTCAATGTTTTTGGAGTGTTCATGGCCTCTACGCAATATCAGACAACATGACAAAACCATTACCGCGATTCACCTTTTTAAACCTTGCTAATAATTAATAAATAAAGCTTCTCCTTGCCCAAATTAAACAACTCGAGACTGCAAAGTCCCACTTTGAAATCCCAAGTCTCAACCTTCATCCCCGTTGCACAACTAGAATTAAATAGTAATTGCTCTAAAAGTAAAATTGTCATGTTGGACCCACATACACTAAACTCGGCAATGTTTAGGAAGAAGGAATTGAAAAAAAAAAGAGAAAGGAAAAGATCCACGTCACACACAGATCATTCTCCATTCTTTCCCTTCCAATCTCCATTCACCGAACAAATCTCATGCATCTCTACCAGTCTACCTCACATTCCCACATCCTTTAACCCGGAAGCTCTAACACTCAAAACGACGAGCTCCGTCCAATTCCACAAACCCTAGCTCCGCTGCAGCAATGTAAGAGCAAATGCAAACATCTAGTTTCATAATCGGTTCCTATACTTTCCAATGATAGTGGCATTATCGATTTCGAAGCTAACTAAACCATAGAGTAGAGAACCAGAAAAACGATGAGAACCTGTTGAGGTTCAGCATTCTCCTTCGTGTCGTCGCCGTCTTCGGCCGTTTCTTTGGAGGCCTTGTTGTTCTTCTTCTGCTTCCGGCGACGACGACGGCGCTCGCTCTCCCGCGATTTTTTGGTGGCGGCGGCAGAGGAGGAGGAGGAGTTGGAGGTGGTAACTAGATCGCCGTTGGAAACGACGCCGTTCTGATACGCTAACGTTTCCGCGGTCATCGGTGCGGTTTTCGACCGAATCCACGAAATTGGTTAACCGACTGAGTTTCCGTATCGGAGTTACAAGAGTTCTGTTCCCATGTGGCTTTGGCACGTGTGGGAAGTCGTTGGGTATTTTGGGCTTTATGTATGGGTATTTCTTATTACACCGTTTTTTCTCTTCACACCTCACTTCTACGTTTTTTTTTTCTTTTATTTTCTAGTAAAAGTGGAGACCATATGTAATTTCATTAAGCCCCTGGGTGTGGTTTAGTGGTAGGGGTTGATCCACGCTTAAGTAAGGTCAGGGATTCGAATCCTGCCTTGTGTATGCAGCCACGTTAAATTTTGGGGCCAGCTATCCCACCCTTTGAGGTGCCTCCAACGTAGCGAGGAGATTAGTCATCGCTGTCGGCGGTGGATACTCCAAGGAAAATCTAATTTCATTAGAGATTAATGATTACTCTGCTTTATATAAATTCTCTCTTGTCCTAATATAAAATTTCATATACTTCCACAAACTAATTTTTTAAAAACTAATAGAATTTGGAGTTAGATTTTAATATGGTAAATTAAGGTTCAAATTTCTATTAAAAAAATGTCTATATTTAATGTTTAATCCTGTTTTGAGCAGGATTGTTTTCGAGAGAGAATACTAAAAATTATAAAATTGTTCATCAACTCCTCAAAAATATCTTTCAACTCTTCACTTCCAAGATATTAAAGTTTCGATCAATTTGTATTTCATTGGGAAAAAATTGGCAAATGGTAGGTAAAAAAAAAAGGGAATGCAATAGTAATGAAGAATAGGTAAAGGAGTTGATATACGAGGAGAATTAATTTTCTCCGTTAAAAATTAATGAGAGTAAAGTGTTTTTATCTTATTCATCTATATTATTCAAACATAATTTTATAATATTTTTATAAAATAAATTAAATAACTAGTATAAGAGAGATTGAAATGGAAGGGATGAGGAGGGTGTATTAAAAAGGAAAACAAATTTTAAAAAAAAATTTAAAAAAAAGTGGGACGGATTGTTTTGCTTTCCTAAACGGAACTAATTTAAAGTAGACTATTTGATTAAAAAATATTCAAAGATTTTTTTATAATAAAATAAGTATTTATTAAATTTTAAACATGTTTGTTTAATCTAATTTAAAAAATTATTTTTTCTTTTTTAAGAAATAATTTTAACTAATATTTTAACATGTGTGATTTACATAATAAATCTTTAAAAATCTTTTTATCAAGAAAAAACTCTACAAATATTCTTGTACAAAATAGTCATTCATATTTAACATATAAGACTTTATTTTATTCTTAAAAAATATACTTTCATTTTAAACAAATTGTCTATTATTTATATACCAAATAGACCTTTAGGTACCATTAAGGTTAGTCCAGTGGTTAGATGGGAAAGGAATGAGATAGTTAGAAGTATGAGGACTTAAATTCAATCTTCTTGCAATCATCTTCACAAAGATATCTTTATTGTACATATATAAAATTATGAAAAATGAAATAAATTTTGAAATTTAAATTTTAGAAATATATAATATGGTTAATACCAGAAATATATATGTTAGAATTCGTCAAATTTAATTAAGAGTGATATTTTTTCCCCTTTTGTTCAGTTCTTTTTATTAAAATGGTTCTCACATGATATAATACCAGTATTCAAATTCTATAATTTTTACCCACAACAAGAAATTTAAACTTACTCCCCAAAAGAAGAATAGTTACAAAAATACAAAAAAGAAAAATAAGTATTTTTTAACCATAATATTAAAATAAAGTATTTCAAATTTTATTGATGACTAATCACTTCTAATGAAATCTCCCCTCACAACTACATCAATAAATAAATAAATAATGATATAACTGAAAGAGAAAATGATTGATTTATCACAAGTTTGTAACTTTAGCGGTACACAAAAATGAGTTTATTAGACAAGGTGTTAGAACAAGTGAGCAACTCAACTAAAGTGGTTGAAATACGATGTAAATTCATATGAACTAAGATTTGTTTTAGAATTGTTACAAGCAGTCTTCGTCTTTGGTCCTTTTATAACTTTAATAATCATATTTAATGTTTAAAAATAATAAAACTCAGCCAAACAAATAAACTCCGTGATACTCAAAGGTAGCATCCATTTTCTTCTTTTGATGCACAAACATACAAGGGGAGGAGTGCAAAACCTTTTCTTGCTTCTTCAACTTTTCCCACAAAGCTAGATTTAGATGAAAAGTTGATAACTACAAGTTAAGTGACATTTCCTATCAGACATTTCTCTCTTTAGATGGAAAGTTGACAACTACAGGGTAGTGACATTTCCTATCAGACATTTCTGTTTGGTTGCCATCAGATAAATAACGCAAATACAAAGGTTCATATATCTTCCATAAGCACCATATCATGAATGCCTCGACCATATATTTCTCTATTTCAGTTCATAAGTAACATATGTTTTCAGAATTCAGATACCATTAATTTGCATTTGACCATTATTTTATATATGATTTATACATGGTATCTGTTTATCATAAATACAATGAGCCAATGAGATAGCTACTATTGCCATGAAAACTACAACTAGGGCTGTTCAAAAAGTATTAGTGCACCAAATCAAACCATGAATTAAACTGAACCGGAAATAAAGAACAGGACAATTTTCAACCCTGCACTTAGCAAAAGAAACAATTCAGTTTTGTTCAGACAGTTCGGTTTTCTCCCTAGAGGTAATGATCTTTTCCCTCTCCAAGTTCAGTTTGGTTCAGAACACAACAGTTCAGTAGTTCTAAACCAATTTTGTTTGAATTTTACAATATAGTGCGCTGAACCAAAGAAACAGTTAAATTTAATTGGGCCAAACTTTTTTCCGGTTACCTTGGGGGGTTGTTCTCAGGTTTGGTTGGATTTTCTGTGCTGAACTGAAACCATGAGCAGGCCTAACTACAATAATCTTAATAGAGCCTAGAGCCTTCCTATAACAGAAAACTCGGCACAAAGATGTTTATCATAAATACAATCGTGGATAAAACTCAGCACAAAGATGAAATTTAGATGGAAAGAAACAAAAGTTCTTCTAGACAATAATGGTCTCAACTCAAGATGAAAGATATTCTCTTTGAATATTTCACCATGATAGCAGATTTTCAGTGCATTTATCATGCTCTCTTTAACTTCCAACAACCTGGCTAAATATCATTGTTAAATTGTTAAATTACACACATTCTTCACTAACATTTATCAAATGTCTATTCTTTAATGTTTGAGCATCAGGAATAAAAAATACATGGAAACATGACCCCTTAAAAATTCAAAGATACATAATATTACAGACAACACAAACCATCTTTGGCTCAAAGAACCCTGAACTTACCTCAAGTGGCAATGGCATACTGCAAGAGCAGAAACAATTTCAAAGAAGCCCTCTTCTTCTTTTGTAATCACTAACTGTCAGTGTCAACGCATGCCTCCTTCCATCATTTTCCAAGACTCTAAATCCAACTGTTGCTTCTATTCTTTGTTTTCTAGCCATAAATCCTGCCTGAGCTCCTTGAGACCCACCAAACTTTTGAAGTAATGCTAATGAAATTGGCAGCTCAAAATTGTGCAGCACATTTGACTCTGTCCCTTGATCCACAGGAGCACTTGTATCCACTAACTTCCCAGCATCTGCAGCAGCTTCCAAGGCAGCAGCGGTAGCCACCATCCCAGCCTCCGCTGTCACTGGTGCTCCAGTTCCATTGCTGCCAGCACCAGCCACTATGCCATTGACACTATTGTTTGCAGCTGCAGCCTTTTCACCAGGTTTTGAAGCATAGTAATTCCTTGATCTAGTCCATCTCCTGGAAAATGGATCATAACCTGCCTCCCCTGCTTTCAAACCTGTATTCACCGGCTTCAATTCAGAAGCATTCTTGAAGTTCTCAAACCTGTTTTTCCTATTCATCTCAGCCAGCTTCAATGCCTTGGCATCCTTCTGCTTTGCTTGTCTGGATGCCTCTAATTCTAGCAGTCTTGTCTTGATCCTCTCCACTTCTGCATCATCATGCTTACTTTGTGCTATTTCCAATTCCCTCCTCAGCCGATCCTTCTCAGCAGCAACATTTAGTGGTCTTATTGAGGCAGACTTTTTCTCTTGTAACATCTGCTTCACAGTAGCTGCTGAATAGACAAATGTGATGGCTTTTTGTATAGCTTGTTTTTTTTCTAACACATCTTGTTTACTTGGCATCCGGCCACCACTGCGATCTACTTCCTTAACCCACTGTTTGAACTCCTCTTCAAGTGGGGCAGAGTCACTAACCATAGCCATTTGCCACCTAGCAGCAGAACTTTCATTTCCCCAAACAACATTCAAATACTTGTATGTAGTTTTATTTTCTAATTTATACTGTCGATCAGGTTCTGAAGCATCAACATTTTTCACCATGCAGAGTCGGTATATAGGTCCAGATTTTGATCTACCAATTCCCACTCTGACAAAGCAGCCAACTATTAAATCCTCAAAGAAAGGCTCCATAAACCATTTGGCAAGTTTTGATCTGCGAATAGTTATTTCCTTTATATCCTGAAATGATGGACCCTCAGACCCAGCTAATGCCCTATCGTCATCACTGTCAGCAATTCCTCCATCCCCAGTTGATCCTTCATCATCACTGTGGGACCTACTTTCACTCTCACTGTGGCTGGAACTACTGAGACTTGTTGATGTGAACTGTTTGCGCTTTGGTGGAGAAAACTGCCGAGGCCCTGCATTTCTTGATGCCTCTCTCAGTCTGCGGTGAGCTTCTGGATCTTGCTGTTTCAATCGCTTTGCACGCAATTCATTTAGTGCATCATTCTTGGCTGACCTGTCAGCAGATCTGGCTGATGCACGCATGCGTGATGATGACATAGGTGGAGACTGTTTTCTGGGCACTGCTACCTTTCCTTTCTCACGCTTAGATGCTATCTTCCCCAATAAATTTTTATCATCCTTTTTGGTAGCCCTATCCGATAAAATCATCTCTCTTTGAAGTTCAGTCATCTCAGAAAGCTTTCGCCTGTCATCCTCATCCTTGTAGAGATCATCACCAATATTTGATTCATCACTGCTGTCGCCATCATGATCACTGCGACCATCATCATCATCTCCTTCTTCCTGACTGCCCAAATCATCATCTCTTTCCGTTGGATCTAACCTTTTCTTCAAAGGAACTTGTGAACCAGAGGGCTTTCTGCTGGCATAATTGGGCTCATCATCTGAATCATCATCCCTAGAATCACTCCCACCATCTGAATAAGCACCATCATGACGTCTCCTTGAAGGTGGAAGAGAATGCCGGTTTCTCCCAGCTGTACCAGTTCTCCCCGCAGCCTCCAAAAGCAAATTCTCCAAATCCGCCATAATTGTCCCAGCTTAAACTTAAATCCGATCCTGCATACACCACAAGAACCCAAAAGACTTCTCTTAAAGAGAATGCGGTTCACAGTACATGAGCCGTGAATTTTGTAATCAGTACACGCTACGCAGGGTTATTGAGAGAATTATGTATGCCCCACAATTACTAGCTATGATATACAATAATGTTCAATGCATCTCTGTAGATATTCTAAATAAGGGAGTAAAATTCAGACAAGGATCGATACACAGTTCATGTAAGTAGGTGGTTTGTCATCTTTTACAATATTATTGCAAGACCTCCTTTAAAGAGAACCCACCCAGCTAAAGAAAACCCGGTATGCAGATTATGTGTTGTAACACAGGGTTAATATATGCAGATTATGTGTTGTAAAACAGGGTTAATAAGAGAATTATGTAACTAAGCTCATATCAACAAAAATTACAATTAAAATCAATAAGCAAGACTAATAAAGCCAAATAATAAAAGTCCCTTGAATAGTATTCAAGAACAACAAGATCTGGGTATGAAAGAAAAGAATTGATAGATCGCGAAGCTTACTGCTATAGGAAGCTACAGTGGAAATGAATTTCACCACCTTCGACAATATGGTATGAAAGATAAAGACGACAGCTGAATGGGATTGACTTCTTCAAATTCGGAAATGTCTACAATAAATAAAAAATTAAAATTAAAATTAAAAAAAAAATAGCGGGTTTAATCAATAAAAGAAAATAAACTAGGGTTTGATTCTTAAAACTTGAATTGTGAATGGAAGATTCTTTACTATTGTGAGGAAAGTATAGAGAGAGAAGACTTACAGATAGAGAAAACAAGTGCGTGGAACCACCAGAATACAAGAGAAGCACTGGAACAACCAGTTGCTTTTGTCACTTAACACCCGCATCACTTGTCTTTATTTATTTATTATTATTATTATTATTTTTTTTTTTAAGAGAGCTTGTGTTTGATAATTGAAGTAAAAAAAAGTTTAATATACATTGATAGCATGATTGATAAAAAAAAATGCTTAAAATAAATAAATAAAAATAAAACTGAACATACATGCTTAAATTAACTTTTTTATTTTAAAAGAACACATATTTTGTTGAAAAAATAAAAAACAATTATTTCATTAAATTAAGCTAAAATAAACCCATGCTGAGTGTTTGAAATATTTTAAATTAAAAATTAAAAATTAAATGTTTGAGAATAAAATGTTTACAAAATAAGTAATAAAAAGGAAATATATAGTTAATTAGAAGAGCCACTGTAAAAATTTATAGTTAGTTAAAGATAATAAAGTTAAAAATAACGAATTATTGAGTCTTTACTTTTAATTAATTTCTTATACATTCCAATAAGGTTTGAGAAAGAATTTGATGCCAACAATTTTCTTTTATTTTACTCTCTCCACAGTCCACTCGAGGAAGAATGTCAACAATTTTCCAATAGCTTTTCAGCACAATGCCAAATGTCTATTAAGCACAAATTTATGAACAATAACAGACAAAATAGCATTGTCCCCATTTTTTTTCACTCTCCCTTACATCTATTCACTTGTGTGGAGAGAATTGTTGACTCAACATTTAGTTATTATTAATTATTATTAGAAAAGTAATGTTACTTACTAAAGAGAAAACATAGATGTAAAGAAATTGTAATAACAAAGAATGAAGTTGAACAAGGCCAGTGTTCCTGTTCACACAAATATAAAAATATGCTTTTTAATTCATGGTCATGATTTTATGGCCGAGATTTGTGGAACTGAATGAGAATCCAGTGTACAGCCCTGCATTTTTGTTTTTTTGCCAAATTTCACGTTATTTGCAAATTCTTATCAATAACATCCAAACACCTGCTAATTATTGGATATTCTGCAGTTTTTTAAAGCTCATAATCTAAGATGCAGCAGTGGTATGAAGTTCTTAATAATATTTCCTATACAACAAAGTAAGTTTTGGGATGAAGATTCCATACAGATTTTATAAAACACTGCAAGGATCTATTTACATCCTAATACTCAAGTGAATTCATGGACTCATGTACTCAGGTATAGTTGAATGGTTATAGAGAGTTCATATTTTTTCTTTCTGAATTACCTCACTTGGTATGTTAGGATCTCCAATAACAGGTACATATATAAATACCCCAAGATTAAGAAATAAAATGGTAGATGATTATCTACATTACAAAATCTGGGAACTTGGATTTTAGTCAACTGACAATAGCTATGCTGTTCACCAAAATAATGTATCACCCTCTTCATGGGTCATTGTTAGGATTTTTTAACCTCTCTTCATCACAGTTGTGTGGATAAATAACATCTGGCACCTCTTCAATATCATCTGCAGGCTAATAATGGAAACACAATTTTAACAAAACTCCTGAACATGAAGAAGGACCAGCTTGGATAAGATTCTTTTAAAACACTTTTAATAGATAAAAATAAGAAGAAAAAATGAGATGCGGAAATTTTTTTTCATTATTTTCTCTAAAAAGTTTTATGCATAGGTGAATTTAGTTTATAGAGAAATTTATTTCATTTTTTTTTCTTCTATTTTTTCTTTTGGAAGTGTTTCTGAAAAAATTTATCTAAATAAATCTCAAGTAAAATGTGTAAAATATCCAAGATCAACAACCTACCTGCCATAGTTCCAGTAGATGCCAAAACAAAAAACTCAAGATCATAACCAAGGAAAAGAGCTTTCCCGCCCATGCTCCACAAGATAAGTATCTAAAAGAAAAGAGACAAATATCAGTTGTAGAAATAGCCACTATATTTGGTAAGTTCCAATTCATTATGCAAATATGCTCTCATATTTGGATAAACGTTTCCATAAACACTCCTAGAAGAATAAAATAAGAAGAAAACTAAAATATATTTTGCAGAAACTTTCTTATTAACTTCTTTGAAATTTTATTTTTAACTTGTGCAAAAACTAATTTTAACTTATAAAAAAACTTATTTGATTTTCTTTCTTATTTTCCTTTTTAAAAGTGCTTTTAGAAAAATTTATCCATACAAAACTCTAAGATGTTACCACTTCAATTAAACTGACAATCTATATATAATAATCGGATTCTTTTTTGTTCTCCTACATTAGGAACTTGTTTTATGATCAAACTATAACTAATTATGCCAACAAAAGAATCACCAAAGTTGAAGTTTAGTCAAATAAAGATCCCAAAATACATTACACTACCACCGACTTATGTTACAAGCATATTAAATAATTCTATATTACAAGCAAAATCACATGATTGAAACAGAATGAACCGTGGACTTCCTTGTACAATTATCAATTATGTGTTGCTGATAAGAATCAAATTGAAACTATGAAAATATGTACCGTGAGAGAGATTCTAATAGACTTTGACTGGGGCACTTCAAAGCACGATCATATACAATTTCAGTCCGTTTGGCAACATCATGCCAGTTGTAGAGTTTCCTCATCTACATAAAATAAATAAATAAAAGAGTAACTAATTTTCACACCAAAAGCAACATAATAAGGCTATTTAAACTACAAACTCACACGAGTGTGCATGACTTGAGGATCAATTTTGGGAAGCATAGATATTGCCTTTTGGATTGCAAGCACTATATCACCTGGATCAGGTTCTGCCAAAACAATCATGTCATCCGGTAAAACCTATACCAAAGAAAAGATAATCTATATCATTATCAACCCTCAATTATAGTATTCCAAAATTTTTGCATTCACTATAAATGTGGAATTGGTAAGTAACTGAAGTTCATAAGATAGTTTATCAAAAAGAAACTAAATATAAAGCCTTTATAGCTACCTCCGGAACACCTCCAACTCGTGTGCTGACTGTTAACAATCCACAACTAGCAGCCTCTAATATGGCCATGCAAAAGGCTTCAGTCAAGGAACTATAACAGCACAAAGCTCAAATAAGATACCAGGTAAAAGAAATAATATTGGACAGAACTCAGAAGACAAAACAACAAATTAAAGCATAGAGAACATAGCAGTAGCCAGATGATAAAGTTCATTTCCACAATACTAAGTTGAAATAGAAGATTTCAAATTAGAAGGCTACTAGGGTGATACGACCTAGCTTGGATCAGATCTTATTTTTTAAGTGGATAAGATTCATGTCTTGGATCAGCATGTGTGTGGTTCCATATTGACTTTATGCTAGGTAAGCCAACCAGGTGTACATAACCAAAAAGTAGTAAGTAAACTGTAGTCACTTTGGGGTTCTTCGTTTTTCATGCTCACAAGTAAGATGTTATTCAAATCTCAGAATATTTTCCTTTTTTTCCTTAAAGATGTTATTCAAATATACAACAGAGAAGACATGTTTTCTTGAAAGTTAATATGCATCAAAGTTAGTTGGCAAATTTACTAGTTAAGCTTCAGCTTCAGCCACTTAAAATTACTTAATTGTCTCTCTTATTTGTGAAAATTATATTTTACACCCTGTCCTTCACTTGAGTATCTATAACACTAACAATGTTCTATGACTATGGTAGTCAATATTGGGCAGTGAAATAACAACAATAGTGAAAATAAGTGTTGAAGATCTGACCAACCACTACAAATTATGCCATAATTATAAACTCATCACCAAGAAAAGGTAAAGTTTTTGAGGAAGCAGTACCAGGTTAAGAAGATATGCCCAGATATTAGAACAGATCGAACTTCTGCATGTGGTACAGCTCCCAGTAAAGTAACACGATCAAAAAGAAAATGTTTTTCCCTCATCTCTTCCAAACGGACACGCTTAGGTCCATCACCACCAATAATGAATCGAACCTTCAAATAGATATATAAGTTACGCCTTTGAAAGTATTCAGTAAAAAAATCTAGAACATAGAATTTATTCTGGACAGACATTTTTCTCTTGGTGCATTTACTGGCTCCTACATTAAATAGTTATGCTTCATACATAAGCGTTGAGACAGCATAAATCATAGGAATCATTGGTTTGGTGTAGATTCAATGTAGTGGGGGTGCTCTCAAGTCTCAAATATAAATCAATGGTAAAAAATTCACATCATGGCAATGACATATACATTAAACATGTGTTTCTGACTTAAAAAAATTGAGTTCTACCAAGATGTTAAGGTTAATATAAATGATTGCAAGAATATACTGGAAGGGCATTATTTTTGTTATGCAGTATGCACAATTGCATATACAGAAAGCTTACCATATAATTTATTGTCAAAGGTCAAGCCAGCAAATAAGTTAGTGTTAAAAACTATTGTAAAATTATAAATATCCAAAATTACAATAGAAGAAAAATATATAATTTAATAGATACATCGCTAAATTAGTAAATTATGAAGTTAGAATTCCAGATAATGTAGAACTGCATAGGTGTTTCATGTACTTAACATCAATTGCACCTCTGAAAAACATCCATTAGGTGTTTCTCAAAAGCAAATACTTAACAGAGCACCCGAAGAAGCACCATTGAATTTTATTTACCAAACGCATATATGAAACTTTTGTTGTCAAGAAGCACTAGAAACAGAAAGGAATACCATTCCCAAATGACTCTTAATGCATTAACCCCATATTGGACAGAAGTTGTCTCAAATTTCATAAATTGTAATTGCATTATGTAAGATAAACTAACATTGTTTTCAAATTTCAACAACTCACATTAGGATGTAACCGGCATACTTCCGGAATGAGTTCAACAAGCAAATCTGCTCCTTTCCGGTAAACCAATCGACTGATAACAACAATAACAACTTCTGATCCACTGGGACGCTCCAATGCTGGCTTGAACATGGCAGTGTCAACAGCATTAGGAATAACAAAGACCTTCTCTGCTGCCAAACCTGACCTCAACACTGTGTTTTCCTTGCTTGTATGGGAAACACAGATGGCTTGACTCACATCTGCCAAGGTAAACTGCATCACTTTGTTCATATGGATGCTTCCAACATCCCCAAAACCATGCAGTGAGTGATCTGTGAACACAACCTTGTATCCCATGATCCTCGAATGCAAAAGAGCATCATGGGAAAGTGTTGAGAAGGTTTGATGTCCATGCACTATGGTAATTCTTTCTCGAATGAGAATTGTTCTTATAATCGGTAGCACCCCATACAATGTTGGAAATGTACTCTGATTAAAGAACGGTCTCCATGGAACATAGTAAACTTTCAAACCACCCGTCATATATCTAACCCCAGTGCGATTCCCATAAGCATGAGTCACCACCACCACCTGAAAATAGTCACAATTCCATTGTTCAAAATAAGAAAAATTACTGTAGCATAACGTATAAAAAATTGGCAAATTACTCCTACAATTTGCATTCAATTACTACAATTTTTTTTCTAATCCTGCCACGGATATTCCTAACTCAATGTGCTAGAGACTAATATCACTCGTAGTATTGTGGTTGACCCAATGAGTTTTTGCACATAGGCAGCAGAGACTAGAACATGTGTTCCCCAACTAGATAGATCATTTCCACATCATATGAGCACAGGTGTCTAATTTGTCAACCCGTCGAGTTAAGTTATTACATAAATCTCCATTGTTTAATTTAAAAAGAAAAATAACCTATAACTCAATTCTAAGTACTGTCAAACTCGATAGCATACAACAAAGAAAGTAAAAGACAACTTCTAGATTGCAAGACGAAGTTCCAACAATATAATGAAGAAGAGAAATTGAGATCTTGGTCCTCATGGAATTCTTTCATGCTGTTACTTGAACAATATTTTGAATTAAGATGGTTATATAATATTGTTGATATAAAAATAAATAAGGGACGATTTATTCTTAAAAATTGTCACTCTCCAAAGACACCCTTTAAAAATGCAGAAAGAATTGAGGTGCTGACCTTGTGGCCTAACTTGAGCAAGCATAGGGAGAGGTAATAAACGTGGTTCTCGACACCACCAAAGTTGGGATAGAAAAAATCAGATACCATAAGAATTCTATGCTTCTGGGGTGGCGAATCACCCATCATCACAATCAGGTTGCTAGCTGTTGCATGCACCAAAAAATGAAAATGAAAATGAAATGATAACATAGGAATGAAATAAGTTGGTGAAATTTCACGACAAATGAAGGAATGGTATGTTACCTTTGAATAAGAAGAAGAAAGTGTGAGTGAGAGAAGAACTCAGAAGAAGATAAGAGAAAACGCTCACTTCCACTTCTTGCTACGTTCAGTTTCAGTATGAGAGTACGGTCCACGTTGTGCTTACCTTTTACGTGTGAATGAATGCATAATGCAGTTTCCAGTTGTCGTTTTCTGATTTCTCCATTCGGTGTAAATTACAATTAATTGCACTTTTTAATAAAAGAGATTCCTTACCAGCTTTGTTAATTTAAGAAATTAATTTAATTTTTTTAAAAAGTTGAAGGATTTTATTTTTTATATTTTCTACATATAAAAGAGCCTTTTAGGAAGATTGTCTTTAAGGAGTATTTTTAGGAAATTTCATTGGACAAAAAGTGTTTTTAAAGATTTTTTAATCATAAATAAGAAATATTTTCTTAATTTCTTTCAATTTAATTTATAATTTTAAATTTTATTTCTAAATTGAATTTTGATATATTTTTTTAAATAAAAATGTTTAAAAAAATTATATCACAATAAATTATCTTTTATAAATCTAAAATTTATTTTATGTTAAAAATATTTATTTATTATAAAATTTAATTATAAATTTTAGTTATGTCAAATAAGTATTTACTTTTAACAAAATAGCTATATATTTAAGAAACGCAATTTCGGATACTAAAACAAAATATATATTAATACACATCCACTTCTTTACAAGATTAAATTCACCTTCCGTGATATAAATTTGATTCTCATTCTTAATTAAAAATTGAATTAATTACTATATATAAAAAATTTTGTGTGTGTCCTTCACGTTGATTTTGATCATTATGTTATTGATCGAAAGTACTAAGTATTATTAACTCTTTAAACGATTAATGTTTGTAGTGAAATTTAGCTAATAATTATCTTTAGTTGAGTTTCTCATCTTAATCTTTATTTTTCTATCTACAAAGCTAATTCAACATATTGTTTAAGAAATTCAAACTCAATTTTAATCAGAGTAATGTATGTCTTATTTATTGTATGACATTTATCAAATTAAATTAGTATTTCTTCTTTTTAAATGTTTATTCAATCAAATGTAAAGGTTTCGTTTCTTTAATTATTTTAATGTACACTAAATTTGCTTGAATCGATATTAAATGCAATGAGATTTTATCAATTAAATTATTCTTTTGAAAAATAATTTTATTTCTATAAGAATTATAAATAAATAAATTCTATTTTTTATATATAATAATAAACTTTAACACTTTTTTATCATCAATAAAAAATCATTGTAGATTTTTTTACATTTTATTTTATACAAGATAATTATTGACTAATATAATAAAAAAATCATTAGAGTATAATTATATTAAAAAAATTACTTGGCAGAACCATTTTTTTAACATTTAATAAAATATTATAAATAAAATATGATTATTTTACTTGCATTATGGATAAAAATATTTTGTTCACCAAACTTATTTGTCTTTTTATTTTCCTCTCGGTTGCATGAAAGAAATCTCAATTAGGGATTTGGAGTAGTTAGAAACATAATGATCTAGATTCAATCTTCATTACGACCATCTTTATAATCTTTCCTATCTTTATAAAAAAAATTATACTGATGAGGCGTAATATTTTGATCATTTGAGGAAATGTAATAAATAGTTGATAAATAATTATATTATTAAAACATGTGGTGTCCATTTCAAATATGTGTAAGAGAATATATGTTGAAAGCAGTTAATTTTTAAATAAATATTTTAAAAAAAACCTCCAAATTCTCAATGTTGTTTATTTACAAAAAAAAAAAAATCAATCATTGTTATTTATTTATTTTTACCATATTGGCAATCAGTATCATGATTATATTGAAAAAATAAATAAATAAATGCATTTTCAATATATTAAATATTTCAAACTTTTCATTTAATTCTTATATTTCCGGTAATTGTGATAAACAACTATTATTTACTTTTACATTTAATGTTGAATTACAATTTTTAGTCCCTTTAGTAAGACAATTGTATGATTTCAATTTTTAAATCAAGTTTTTAAATATTATAATTGTACAATTTCTATCCTTTTGTTAATTTTTTTAACTTTTTTTATAATTTTAATTATGAGTAATGTGATATACCATTGTACTATATAAATAAATAATTAACAAATATATAGAATAATGGTATGGATGATGTGATGTCCCATTGTACTTAAACTAAACAATTAAGACATATATCTTTAAAATAAAAATAAATTAAATCACATTATTTTTTATATAATTAAAAATATTTTTAATAATTTAAAAGTGCGAGTATTTACCGATCCAGTGCTTTATTATATATCTCCACTTCATTATTAAACAGATATTTCATTAAAAATTCATAGTAAATCTACTTATTCCAAAAAAAAATTCATTTTTAATTACATCCAATAATAACACTTAATCAATACATCAATAATATTAATAATATTATTCATCAATTAATACTGATAATATTATTAATTTATTAATATATTATTGTTTTTATAATATTATAAAATTATATAATTATTAACATATTTAAATTATATAAATTATAAATTTTATTCATGTATAAAAAATATATTTATTAAATAAAT